GTAATTCGACAGCCATGGTGTCTGTCAACTCTGCATCATGGATATAACTCACTCACCCACCCAAGCATCCACATCCCCCCAACATCACAGAAGAGACACTCCCCGCAGGGGACAACTTACCTTACTAGACACTGACCTCCCCGGCCTACCTGGTGTGATGGCCTCTAGACTCTAGACTCTGTATTCCACGGTGCCAATACCCTTGCTGTTCCGCGCCGTTTGATCCCAGTACCCCGGGTTCAGGCCCTGCTCGACAGCGCTGATCTGCAGGGCGAGGACGGGCGAAAACTGTCGCGCCCACACGAAACTGCCGGTCATGTACCAGAAGCCCGGGAAGCCGGTGGGCCGCCACCACTGTCATAGAGTCAAAATCAGTCATTCCCGGAAAAAAAAGAAGGGGAAAAAAAAGAAAAAGCAGTAAAGTCAAGGTAAAATGACTGACTTACCCCAATCCGCTCCTGCTCGTCGTTGAGAAAGCCCAGATCGCCAACCCGCTCGGCGACCTTCTTCCCCATCAACTCCTCCACGGTCAGCACGTTTCTCTGATACCCCGTCGCCAGAATGACCAGGTCGGCGTCCACCTTGGTCCCGTCGGCGAGGACGATCCCGTCCCTGACGAATTCCTTGACCCCGGCGGCGCACGACTTGACCTTGATTCTCCCATCCACAATCATCTGGCTCGCGCCTTGGTCGATGTAGAAGTGGCCGGTCTTGACGGCGAGGTGGTCGATGAAGCCGTACCCGGCTGTCTTTGCATGCTTGACCTTCAGCCCGGCCTTCTCCAAGCCCTGGAGCAGCTCCTTGTCGTGCTCCTGCATCATCTGCGTCTGTCCGATGTTGAATGTCCGAGCGACGGCAACGGGGAAAGAGTTTGCGATGATGTCGGCCTCCTCGGTCGTTATGCCGGGCGTGTCCCAGATGGAAAAGTAGGCGTCTTCAATCGCTTTGGCCGACAGGGAGAAGATGGCGTTGCGTTGGATCATGGTCACCTCCTTGGCTCCAGAGTTGACAAAGTCCTGGGCGATGTCGTGGGCGCTGGTGCCGGAGCCGATGATAGCGACGCGCTTGTTGCCAACATCAGGCGTGAGACGTGCGGCTTTGTGGTGCATTGCATGGTACGCCTCTCCTTTGAACAGATCTCGGCCGGGGATCTCAGGTTCGATGGGGTGACAACTGAACACGCCGGTCGCCAGGACAAGATGCCGAGGGTGGAAGGTTTGTTTGCCGTCCTCATTTTCCACCTCAACAGTATATTGGCGCGCCTTTTCGTCGTAGTCGATCTTGTTCACCGTGGTGCTGAGCATATATTCAAGTCCCATCACTTGGCCGTAATGTTCCATCCAGCTGGCGATCTTGTCCTGCTCCAGCCATCGCGGCCAGTTGGTGGGGTATTTGAGGAAGGGATAGTGGTCGGTATAGATTGGTGTATGGGTCCTGACTGTTTCGTATCTGGACCGCCACAGATCCCCAAGTCGTGGGAGCTTGTCGACAAGCAACGCTTTGACGCCCATGTTCTTGAGCTGCGCAGCGAGCATAAGACCCGATTGTCCTGGAAATCAATCAGCTGGGTGGCTGCTCGGCGACGTGTAATGACCTACCGGCACCGATGATCAAGACCTGAAGGTCGTCCTTCTTTTCCCCATTGACTCCCTGGCCAAGTTTTGTCTGGGTGTAGGATTGGCGTAGTCGTTGGTTGTCAAGCTCGTCCTGATTGCTGAGTCTCTCAAGCTGCGTGAAGACCGTCCATGCTTTCCAGTGAGACCTGTCCACATTGATCAATCGGACGAGACCGGTGCCCGAGCCATCACTTGTCCGGAAGGTAAACCCACCCTGGATCCAGATGGCTCCGTGTATGTCTACCAAGCTGGGCTGCAGACCCCCGGTTTTGACGGTATCCAGCCGTCCGAATCCAGTGGTCGAGCTGTTGAGATAGTCTGCGACGTCTTTGAGACCGTGCTTTGTTACTATATCCCATGAAAGACTGGTAAAATCCCGCCACCATGAGTCGTCAATAAAGAGATCCGAGAGGTCGGTAGACAGACCGTTCTTAGGACGCTTCTCTAGAGCTGCGAGCCAGTTGGCCACGATGTCACTGGCATTGATCTCATCGCGGTTGACGCCGTCGTCGAGTGTGAGTGCTGGGATCGAAGCAAGTGGATAGCCGTCCATGATCACAAAAATGTCAACTTGAGATATGTTACTCTCCTGGCGGACACGCCATAATGGTATAATTTCCGTTGTTTATATAGCCAGCGTGGAAGAGGCGTTCCATGATGGTTATAGCGGTAAGGGTAACAATCTGCCAGGAATGGGCGACCAGCCGCAGTCGGTCCACTATACGAGGATCCTATAAGGACAGTGTTGAGGCCACCGACTCCACCACTGAACGCGGCGTATCGAGATCTCACAACTTCGTTTGTAATGTCACCCCTAAACAGGGGTGCCCACATTCGGACCGGCTTGTGAGGTTCAGAAGTGCTGAGTGCTGACCGTCGGTTCACACTGTGGTTTCCGCCTCCTCCGGACAAGGAGCTCCAGCATGAGTTGTTGGAGCATAGACAGGAGACCTACCAACGGATTTTCTGCTACTCAAAAGTAGCCAGGAGCAGTCTGTTATACGGGGGTTGTGATTACACGCGCCATGTCCAAATCGAGCAAAGCCTGCTTGTAACCGTGCAACACAAACCTGGAAGCTCAATATCCCTCAAGACGTTGTGATGTGGGAACGGGACGCCTGAAGATGGTTGTATCAGGAGTTGCCAACGATCCGACGTGAGGGAGCGAGTCTGTCCTCCAAATTGGGAAAGACTTGCAAGGTGGGATCGAGTCGCTCTGCCAAGGTCATCATCATTGAACAGGCGACCAAACGTGGGTTTTTTTTCTCAGCATATCCTGCTCAAGGGTGGATGGCAGTGGCGATGAGAGTATCATCCGCGTTTGTTCAATCCACTGCCGCATGACATTCTGGTGAGAAGCGACCTAACAGACCACTTTTTCGAAGACGTGGAAAACAGCTTTGTCTGCCAGCGATGGAGATGCCGAGGCAAGGCTGTGACAGAGCCAGACGAGGCTGACGCAAGGCTGAAGTGGATTGTTGCCAAGGAATGCTGAGCCTCGCGCCCGACCGACTTGCATGGATCTGCTCTCCTATCCTTCTATTCCATCCTACAACAACCCGGTCCGTCAATTCTAAGCTCACCAGTAAACGCACTCGTATCTCGCTCGTCAAACATGGCTCTGCCAAACCTACGCCGTCTCTTCGTCGAGGCTCGAACCGAGGCAGAAGAGAATGAGTACTCCCGCAACGCCGTAAGCTTCCTTGCTGTACCAAATACAGAAAATATCCAACATAGTTCTAACCTCCCTTGCTTAGTTTTACAACCTGGTCCTGTTCATTTCATCCGTAGCCGTCTTCAGCCTAGTTGCACAGCGCATGAGCGGCAATAAAGCAATCAAATAAAGAAACCACCTGACCAAGCGCCTCTAAAGGACAGCTTGAGTTCCGACTTCAATCGGTCTCCTCGCCATCGCTGCTCAGAAAGTCATAATTCTTCGCTCCTCGCACCAACCGTCTCGCTGTGGGTCGCGGGCCATCTGTACCTTTTTCAGCTCGCGCACCGTTCTGGGCGTTGAAAGCACCCCAGCGTGCTTCTCCTTCTTGGACAGCCTCGATGTCGGCCGCCAACTCTCGAGCCTCTTTGATCTGGTTCGCCTTCTCTGCCGAGTATCTGCCAGTCATGCCGATGTCGGCGAGCATTTGTTTCAAATGCTTGATTTTGGCTTTGGAGGTTTCGTAGGGTTTCAGCTCTTTACCCCACAGCTTACGAATGCCGCATTTCATCAGCCAGCCTTGAAGACGCTTGATTTCGGCCTGCTCGATGTCGATATTGGCGTCGGCTTTTGGCTTTGTGGTGGGTCTGCTGGCGGGCTTCTTGGGCGTCTGCCCCGCAGAGTCTCTGCGCTTGCTGCTCTTCTTCGCTTGCTCGTCATCTTGGCCAGAGCCTGACACCTTTGCTCGCTCGGTTGGAACGGGCTTGGACTTGACGGAGCGTGCTTTCTGAGGGCTCTTTCCTGGTTTTGTTTTTGGCGTCTCTTGCATCGCTTCTGAGTCTACACTCCCCTGAGGGGAAGACAGATTCTTCGAGGCATGGTCGCGACTCTTTGCGGTAGCAGCTTTTCGTCTCTTGTTCGGTGTGGACTCTTTCTGTTTCTGTGAGGTCTTGCGCTTCTTGGATGTCTTCTCGGGCTCTTTGGCCTTGGGCTTGGCCTCCTCCGGGGGAGGGCTTTCTGTCACTGCCCGAACATCCTGGCCGCAGTATTAGCTGTGCGCGACACATCACTTGGGAGCATCCAGATATACCAGTTGGTCGGCAATGATAGCTTTACTCCGCTGTGCCCACTCCTCGTGCTGTTTGTAGAAACCCTTCGGGAGCCCGAGTTGCGTTTCGGAAGCTGCGCGTATGGAGTTGTTCGAAAACTCGATTCCATCTTGTAGCGCCTTGTCCACCTCACGGCGTAGACTTTGCTCGAGTTCGTTGTCTGGTGGTGTGGGTGTCTCGGAGGCTTCTGAAAGTTCCGAGTCGGACACGGACATATTGCTCTGATCAAGGGTAAATGATGATTATGTTATCCAAGAAGATAGGAGGGTTGATCGAACACGCGCAGGCGCCGTTGAATTAATGAAAAAACGCGCTGGTCGCATCAGGGCCAGTCGACCCTTGATTTCCCTTCTGCGATGGGCTCGAGGCTTCCCCGCAACGTAAACACGATCAAGCACGTGATAATACTGGTCTAGACCTACTTGGGGAAAGTCAAAGGAGAAGGTGAAGCGAGCCTGCATCGGACATAATCGGCGTTTGTCGCACCACAAGGCAAGGCTTCATTTTTCTGATTTACAATCATGTCTCAACCTCAACTTTGATGCTTGCTAAAGGCGCGTAAGGGCAGATTGCGGCGGACCCCCCGAGGAAGGCGTGCGGCGATCGCGGATCAGCAGACAAATGTCGTTCCCTTTTCCAGGTGGTCAAGCACCTGGCACCAGGGATGCAGAGGATGAGGACAAGAAGCCACAGAAGACTGCGCCGGGAGTTGTCCTGGACAAGGATGGGAAACCGTGCGTTGTTGCTGTTTGTTGAAGACTCGGCTCCGTGACTGACTACAGGATAGTTGTCGAACGTGTACTTCGTCTGCCGCATGGATGGCGATGATGAAGCAGGGCACGGGCAAAAAGACAAAAGCCGCCGCCGCTCCAGTCCCGCCTCCACGAACCGAATGCCCGCCGGACGTCGAAGAACTTGGTAGAGCTACGTGGACGCTGCTGCACAGCATCGCGGCTACGTACCCCGAGGCGGCCCCTCCCGAAACTCAATCAGTCATGAAGCAGTTCATTTCGACCTTCTCCATGCTCTACCCTTGCTGGGTGTGCGCGGACGATTTTCGAGACTGGATGAAAAAGCCCGGGAACGAGCCCAAGGTCAAAGGACAAGACGACCTGGGTATGTGGATGTGTCAAGCTCATAATGCGGTGAATGTGAAGCTGGGGAAGACCGAGTTCGATTGTAGTCTCTGGAAGCAGAGATGGAAGGACGGGTGGAAGGACGGGAGATGTGATTGACGATGTCACGCAACGGGTCGACAAGGGAAAGAAAATACAAGATGTTGGACTGTACAACCACACAAGAGATACCATGAGAAGAACAGGGCAGGAGGGGGTGGGTATAGATCTTGGACATATAAAGAGCATTAGCGGCGGCGCAACATCTCTCCTCATATCAGAACTTGTATATACCATATCTTAGGGACGACCATGTACTACAACGCCACAGGTATGATGGCAAAGAGCGACAAATACAAATGATTAGAACCAACAATTATCAGTGATCCCCTCTACAGACTTGGTACTGCAGCATTACTGGAGCATGGGGCAATTGAGGCGGAGCCTTGCGCCCTGACAATGCAATTTCCATCAAGTCGCAAACCTCCTCGGCAAGAGAAATTACATTCATTCTATCTTGTACCTTGATATTTTCTCCTCCACCATATCGCCAATCCAATCTACGCGTACTCAGTATGCACCGACAAGACCCGGAGCATTCCTTGTTCACATCCATACCTGGTCCTAGACAAAACACCGGCCAACAACTCATAGTACAGAACTACTACTACTAGGACTACGAGTACATTCTTCATCATCACCCACCTACTCCTCCCTGGTCGACTTGGCCACCACTCGAGAATGTCACCCCTTCTCCTCTCTCTACCTAGCCTGGTCCGCCGTTGATTTCTTATCTCTTACGCGTGTCGTTGCTCTCGTCGCCCACCCCTGTCCCCTGTCCCCATTGATCTAAGAGTACGAGGACAGACGGGTCCCAAGTAGAGTACTCGTACCAAGGACCGAGTGCGAGTCCATACATATCTGCCACCATCGTCACCCACAAGACCCGAGACTCAAGACACTAGCTTTCCGAGATCTAAACATCTTGGCTCTGCAAACGAACTTGGTCCTGTCAAACTCTTGCTCTCGTCTCGTCTCTTCTCGTTTTCGTTTGTTTTGTATTGGAAAAATACCTGAGAAGCTTGGAACTTCCTCCCTCCTCTTCTCGAAAAAAAAAAGCCCTTCGTCTCCTTCGTAGAGACACTTTTACCTGCTCAGCTTGTAAGCTAGCCAGCGTTGTGGAGTGCTAGTCCTAGAGCAATAGCAACATGAAAGAGCGGAAGACGAGAGTGATGATCACTACTACTCACGCTTATGCTCATGCTCATGCTAATGCACATGCTCGACCTCATCCCTGACGATGCGCCTCTTCCGTCGCCCGTCACTTCGGTCACTGGTCCTCGTGGCACTAGTCTTGACATTGATCGTCACCAACACCCGCAGTAGAGAAGCATACCTCTATCGTGGCCAGAAGGGGCCACTATACGACCCAGCCCGCTTCTCGCCCGGGACCGCCAAACCAGCCGGGCAGAACTACACGCGTGTGCTGGTCACGACACGGCTGCCTGGGGAAGACACGTCCTGGCTGGACCGAGACCTGCCCGACCTGCCCAAGAAGATCTACTCGATCGACGCGACAGACTCGGACTCGGGAAGCGGTAATGGCCCGTCGGCGACAAACAGGGGCAGCGAGGAAGCCGTGGCCTATCTGAGCTATATCATCGACCACTACGACGCCCTCCCAGATATTGTGCTGTTCTTCCGACCGGCCAAGAAGAGCCGGTACAACAACGTCGTGCTGGACGCGGACACAGGCGTCACGATCAAGCTCCTCTCCGACGCCCACGTCATGCGCCAGGGCTACTTCAACGCGCGCTGCCACCTGGACCCGGGCTGTCCGGACTGGCTGCACGTCGACCAACCCGTGAGAAAGTACGACCTGGTGCGCAAACCTGCGGAGCCGGCCCTGACCTCCGCCCTGTTCCACGACTTGTTCGGGCACGACACCCCCATCCCGCGCGCCCTGTCGCAGCCGTGCTGCGCGCAGTTCGCCGTGTCGGGAGAGCGCATCCGCCAACGCTCTGTCGATGAGTACCGACACTACCGGGCCTGGCTCAAACGCACTAGCGACGACTCCTCCTCCTCCAGATTCTCGGCAACCATCCTCGAATACTCCTGGCAATACATCTTCACGGGCCTCTTCGAGTTCTGCCCGTCCCCTCACCGCTGCCTCTGCGACGGGTACGGCGTGTGCTTCGAGGGCCGCGAGCGCGGGCTGCGCCGCTGGCTCGAGTCGTTCGACGCCAAAGAGGGCCTGGACGCGCAGCTCCTCGCGCTGTGGACCGGCGCAGACGGCGGCGGCAGAAGCGACAGCGACAGCGACAGCGACAGCAACACCTTCAAGGATCTCAAGAACCGCCGCGGCAGGCTGGGCAGGGAGCTGGACCGTGCCAGGGAGTTGGCTGTTCGGAGGGGCTTTGATCCGCGGACCCGGGCGAGGGAGTGTGGGAGGCCGTGGCGTGCGGGTGATGGCTTTTAAGACCTCCTGTGAGGGTGGCTGTGTCGATTTGATATCTGCATTGTACTCTTGTTGTCTATTGACGGATTGACTGGGCAGGTGGCATGACAATCAGCTTCGGTAGACATGGGAGAGCAACGTTGTGGTGGCATCAGAGACATTTGATATTTCGTCTCCCCTTCCTGATTAAAATGATAATCATACAAGAATTCTCTGTTCCACTGGCCACGCCATTGTGTGATACATTCGAAATGCCAGCTAGTTGTGGCTGACACAGCCCTGCGCGCCCTGCGTCGATAATGCCTCTTTACATTCCGAACAGCGAGCAAAGTCATCCTAGCAACAGGCTTTGCTCGAAGCGTACACCGTTTGCATCGACGGAAATAGCTTCCTGTCAAGAGCCATACAAGTAATGACCGACCAACACTCATTCGCCGTCCAACGCCTGGCTGTTGATCATGACCCGGACTGATGAAATGCTCCGAACCCCGTTCGTCCGTATCATACACCGGGACAAAGTCTCGGTTCAATGTCATATCCCACAACAACTCATAGCCCGCCTGAAAATGCCGTCCCTAGTAATTCATGACCATCTCGCCCGACCCGGTCTTCGGATCCATGGCTCCATCAAAGTTTCCCGGGGGATAGTCGTCCAGACTCCGATATGCCGGCGCTCCCCGGCCCCCGCCTCCACCGGCAGGACCGTTGTTTCTGCCTCTGTTCGAGCCGCCTCCAGCTTGGCCACCACCGCGTTGTTTCACACCGGTATTTGCTGAATTACTCCCCCTGTTCCCAGACAAGTTTGGATTGTTACGGTTGTTAAAGTTGGCCTTGCTTTGTTGGTTGCGCTGTTGATAACGTCCTCCTCTTGGCACATAGCCACCATCATCTCTGTCGCTTCCACCGGCGACCCGTGCATATGAGTCTCTGTTCCGCGAGTTGGGCTCGTCACCACCATATTTTCGCTTGTGCCCTGCCTCAAAATCATTGACAAGATGTCCCCTCCGGTTACCTCCAGACCCACGCTGGACTCGGGAGTGATCGTCTTCGATTTTCAACATGACCTTGTCGGCCACTGTGGTTTCGAACATGAAGGCTTTGTCCGGAGGGACAGATTGCCAGGTCTGTATTCTGGCTGCGTCGATCTGTCTGGAGCCCTTTCGGACAGCTAGAACAACAAGAGGTGTGGGATCCTGGGTGTAGATTTGAGTGTCTGTTACTGGTGCAACGCGGGCAGCCCAGATCCGATCTTCGTACTTGGCGATTCCCGTAACCTGCCATGTGACTTTCTTGCCACGCCCGCCAACCTTCTTGAGAATGTCATGCCGCGGGTAGTAAGGCGTAATGAGGATACTCGACGCAAAAAGACGGACTTCGCCAGAATCAATCATCCCAGCTGCGATATTGAATAATGTCAGGAGGCGTGCGGAGTCTGTTTGGTTGATCATATAACCGAAATAGCAGAACTGCTGGTCGATCTTCAGATGCTTGCGGACAGTCTTCGTCACAGTGGGAACCCCATTGGAGATTGCTTCGTTGTGGCGAGTGATGGCTCGCTGCACGACCTCGACTTCGGTCTCTGGGTTCAGAGTGGTCTTCAGCTCACAGACGTGAATCACCTCCGCCGTGATGGGCTTCCGAGGAGGCGGTGGTTGGTCAACAGGATGCGATAGGAATGACTTGTTCAAGCGCTCAAAGTAGTCTCTGAAGCCTTTGACGTGCTTGGGACGATCCTCGTAAATTCTTATTTCGTCAGCATTCTTATAGCTGAAGACTAGTTCTTTGAGGAACTCCTGCTTGAACCCCATGGTGGACTCGAACTGCTGGCCTGAGGGGCCGACCTCGGGCTTGAGGACGACCATGTCGAAGTCGAGTTTCCGTGAGTTGCAAATTCGGTTGACAAGGTCCGCGAAATACGTCTCTCCCCTGCCGGTCAGCAATACAGTGAGGACATCCTTGGTTTGGCTGCTCAATTCGACGAGCTGGACCACAGTCTCGTTCCAGTGACCCTCCCATGCGCGGGGCTCTTCAATCTCGAGACCATCTCCTGTGGCAGCCAGTATACTGTTATCGTGCCACCACCCTCCATAGGCGAGAGTCTCATATGTTTGAAGCAGACCGACGGTAGGTTGTGCCCATATCTGGGGGTTTGGTAAGGGGCTGTTGAAGAGCGTATTGTCGAAGTCGTAGACGTGAATAGCCTTGATGGAGGGGACGGGAGGTAATTCCTTGCTCTTACACGACCACCGTCTGAGACCGACCAGCGAATAGGTGGTCTTCATTGTGAGGCTGGAGAATGACCGCCTGGACAAACTAGACTGCCAGGGTCGAAGAGTTCGTGGGGTAAGAGGCAATCGCTGTCATTGAGACTCGTGGAGGAAGCAGAGGAAGAATCGACGGGTTGCCAGGCGCATCTGAGGTGGTCGTGGTCGTGGTGGGATATGAGCCCGAGAGCGTCGAGATTTTGCCGGGGTCGATTCGCTGGAGAGGTACACAAGACAAAGAAAGAGTCAGGAAGAAATACGGGTTGGGCGTTTGTGAAACAAAGGCAGCAAATCAGTTACTCAAGCTCGTGGTTGGAAGGCGACGAGGCAGACGAGAGGCTCATTTGAGGTCGGCAAACTTGCCTCGAATAGTCAGACTCAGATGGTGCAGAGAAAAAACATCAACGACACCAACGACTTGAGTACCATGAGCACCGAATACATACATACAAATGTACAATATCTATCCTCAGCCCGCGATTCCGCGTCAATGCTCACGACTGCTGCTTGGAGACCATCCGTCTGCTCATATGCATCGTACATATGTCCTCGCCTTGATACCCGCTTCGCACCAAGAGCACTCGTTCCGCTCACCCAGAAAACTCTGTAGTTGCTGGGCGAGACCACGATCCCGACCACCT